CGTGGAGGTGGTAGAAATGTATACGCCTAGTTGAAGAATGCGCGCGCGGGCAAACCGCGTACGCAGACAGCCGAACTGGGTGACTGGGCAATAAATCTCAGCTGTTGACAAGTGGTTGATAAATTTGGTGTGATTCAGGTAATTTTAATTTATTATAAGTACCTTCTATTAATCATTCATATTACAATTGCGAAAGGGAGAAATAAGAGATATTTTGTTTACTAATATTATTACAACATGGTATTTTAGAGACCTTTTGAAACTTTTTTAGGGACGCCTATGAAACTCATTAAATTTTATTGCTAGACGTTTTTATATATGATCAACTGACTTCGGAAACAATACCACTGACTTATTTAACGTCTAACTAAGTGACATGACTTGTTAGCAATTGTAAATAATAATCATCTTTTCAGGGCAAATTTTTGAATATTCTTGTACGTCAGATTTTTTGCTCCACCTTATTTATTTAAGCAATATTTGAAAAAGAAGCAAACACCCCTATGTAGTAATCTAGTGCTATTGTTAATAGTTGTTACTGTTTTATTATAACAGCACATAACGATATTATTCATTAACTGACTAATATGCCATTGATATACGGTGAATGTAGACAAAATGATGCGACTTCACAACAAATGTATGCAAATTGTTTTACACTTTGCCAACCAAGTGCTTCTACTTTTTAACAGTTATTCAAAGAGTACGCAATGAACTTTTTACTTTCCACAATACTCACCAGTGATCTGGTGAGTATTGTATGACGCAAAGCATGGATATTGGAAATATCCATGCTTTGCGTCATACTAATTTTCAACATCCCTTCTCAATTAACAATTGGAGAGAATTGTAAACAATTTCATAATATGACCTTTTGTGTTTCCAAACCATTTGATTGTGCAGCATTATCGAACTCTTCTTAAAAAAATATTCGATATTTGTCGGTATTTACATTATGAGGCTCTACCTCGGTACTCTCGTACCATGCAAGAAGTGTATAAAGTTTTGGGGGTTTTGGAAACTTATATAATTTAGGCATATTTCTTGAAATATTAAAAAAAAATGTGTGACAGAAATGTCAATGAAACTGAAAAACTATTACATTGGTTTCTGCATCACAGATTATCAGACGAAATGGCTGATTTATCGATGAAGAAGGTTACTATATTGAACTGTCAAGCGAGAATATGTCGGGTCATTCCCTCTCAACTTCAGCAGTTCTCAATATGTTTATATATTTTTGTCAAAGGCAGTATTTTTTTACGTCAGAATTATCTTTAAAAGTTAGTTTCCTAATTTGTAAACACTTAAATATTTATTTTCCGTTTATTTTTACATTGTTGACAAAGGTTATTAAACTTGTCCCCTGCTCAATATTGATGTAAAACATCTGCCAAGCACAGCCTTCCAAATTTGAATCGAGCTGATGTCTGATTATCGATTCAGCTCAAGAAGTAATTTGGAATGCCAATCTCGTCTTCGGTTTCTTGTTAAAATATCGTATGACACATAATTATTGTGATTTAACGTGCGTCGCTACACGGAATACAAATGGAAAGAGATGAATTAAAATTCACACCGTCCAGTAGTTTTAAGCATCCCATTGTTTAAAAAGTGACGTACGGCTGCAAAAAGTTGGGGTAATATTACAAATGAATAGTGTGTCAATGTCATTTGTCACATTATGATAATTAATTTTGTTGTTTGTAAACCACAAACAATTGTAAATAAATTATGCGGGTTTTTAGACATATTAAGGCCTCTGTCATTGGTGTCTGTTAATTGGCCACATGTTTTTTTTTTCTTTAATGAACAAACATTACACAAAACTTGTGTAACATTGTACCAAACAAACAGTGTGGCTTCAAAATTGAACCTTGTAGGGCACCTGCGGGGTCACAATCGTACAACTGCACCAAATAGAGTTATAATAACGTGTAAACCTGTACACAAAAGACTGTAAAACACAACGCCACTTTATAATCCTTTGTTCTCGCAATGGGTGCATTGTACCCGAAGATATCGTAATTAGTAACAGTACCTTCGTTACGCAAATCACTGAGAGTTTTTCTGTGGTTTGTTTCTACTAGGCAACGAATCGAACGTTTTCCTCCGCGAGCAGTTAATTATCACGTCCACTCAAATTTGCATAAATATTGGATTAGCTAACCCATGGAGCTGTAATAAAGGCGTCTTTTAGAACTGTGATGAATGAAACTCTGGACTCTAATTTCGCTAATGTCTATAATTGAATTAGCCGGGAATACTGAGCGAAAAGTTGGCACATATTTTCAATTTTCGCTTTCAAATGAGTCAAATGAAGCTGTTTTTTAAAGATAGTGTTGAAAGAAAATATGGTAATTCAAGGAATATTGGAAACATCAAACCTCATTTCAGTTAATACTTAAGTTAACATTCTACATCAACTTGCGTTATTAGAAATTTTGATTTTGTACATTGGCCATGGCCAACTGTGCAAAAAAGTTTCTAATATTTATAATTATAAAATTTTTCAGAAAACAAGTATCTAGTTTTCATAAAATTGTATTTTTTAATGGCTTGTGAAGGTGAAGTACTTATAGTGTTGTTAAAAACTCGGTTACAAACTAATATGCTATGCCTAAATTGTAGCCAAAATGAATATAGAATATCTATTTCTTTTTCGTTTCAAGGTTAATTGTTACAAAAAGCTAACGACCTGATTTAAAAAATTTAGTAAATAAATAATGTAAATATCATGCAGCTCACAACCTAACACTTCCTTAAACAGAAATTTCACACGGTTAAAATATTTCATATTACATGAACTTGTGTAGTAAATTATAAGAAACTACATTATAGATATAATCAGACACTGAATTAATTGCTTTTAATATTTAACTACTAGTACGATATGTATCATACACACCTTTACCAAATTTTATGTTAACATAAAAAACATTGTCATAAATTTGAGGAATAATCTAATAATTATGTTAATATTTTCAAGGGACTGTTTTTTTAGCAACTTAATTAGTATAAAAGAAATATTTGCTTTAATTTAACCTATTATTACAATAATTGAACTTTAACATCATATATACAAGGTGTTTATTGGTTGGTTATTTTTGTTATTTGATTCTTAGTTTCATTACTGCCATTACTTCAGCATGAGATAGATTAATCATAAATGAACAAAATGTTGCATATTACAGGGGCGTAAGATTAACAGTTTTCAAAATACAGCGAGTATTAATATTGGGGAGCGCACACAGCTGGTGCATACCACGTGTGCGCTCGACAAACTTGTCCTATGGAAAAAATGTAAACAACTATTATTGTGAAACATTTAGTAAATTGTATCAATTTTGTAGTACGAAGATAGTGTTGTGTTTAAATTTTAACTCAAATTTTAGTAATTATGAATTTCTTAAAACAGGAACTTAACTTTTAATCAAATTATGAATTTGAAAAATATGGAATTAAAGTACCCAAGATTCACGTCATCCAAATAGTCATGCATGTTAAAAATAATTTAGGTACTTACCAAAAAGCAAAATTCAGTAATTTTTAAACGCACAAGTACAAAACAGACTACATCATATGCTCAAAATGTCCTCCACCATTTTCGATGCACGCACGACTCCTTCGAATTCAATTTTCGCGAACTCGCTGGAAAACACCTCACGAAAAAGAAATAGTGTTACGCAAAAACACTCAAGTACGGTCAAATTCCAGATACCAACAGAATTGCGTATTGCTCGACAGCTTAGTACCTCGTGTTATCCGCCGCGCCGTTGTCACATTGCTCTATGTGAATTTTGTTGAGTTTTAAATTTATTACAACGCTAATTATTTTTTAGAATTAAGCATAGAGAAGTTAAAAAAGAAATAAACATTGCATTTTATGGTATTCTATGCACGCAGTTAACGCAACTTTTGTACATCAAGTTGGAGATTTTGATAATTTTTTTCTCGGAAATGGTTGAGTTTAGGACCCATGTCATATAAGGTTTTTTTGTTTATTTTATTGTAGTATATCGTCTGTTAAAATTAAGGCAGTCAAACTTTTAACACCCTGTATAATATTTTATTACACAATCTATGAATGTGATCGCTTTTTGTCTTTTTTTTAAAGAGGAATCACTAAATTCACTCTTTTTGTAAAAGAAATATCTAAAAAAACATTCTTAGTTCACTTTTTCAAGTACAGTGTAGACAAAAAGCTGTTTTCGTATAAAACATCGAAAGAAAAATTTTATTAAGATAACAATTATTCGCACGTGCCAGATTTCGTGACAATCGGTTCTAATTTTACAGTTGAATGAGAATTAAATAGAAAAATCTCAAAGTCGACGGTTTGTGTTGAAATTTTTTAATATACATAAACTAATTGTTAGAAGGGTTTCCTAATAATGTTTTTCTATATCTTATTCGAAAGCGGTACCTACTTTACCGGTACAGAAAATATTTTCTTTCTTCCAGCAAGGCCTTCTTAATTTTCTCGGAGTAAAAATATGTCACATATCACTTTTTAATAAAATAGAATCGTTTTCAAAATTATTAAATTTCAACTGAACATTTTTCTGTTATTAACACATATGATTTAGACAATTCGAGGACACCCTATATATAATGTTAAAAAAGCTATTTATTTCTTATTTGGTATACCGTTTTATTGACTTTTAAAGATAAAATCGGACACTAGAATTCTAATAATTTATTAGCCGGAGACAGAAGCAGAAAAATATTAAATAAGTTCATACAAATTTAAAAAAAAAATTACTAATATTGTGTAGTCCAATTTTACTTATAAATAAATAAATAAAGTCACTTTTGGTTCACTTATTTCAAAATTTTTCGTCATTATTTCCTGACATAATTTTACCGGTTTGTTGTTGCTCTTCACGAGGTCTACAAAATCGTAATATACCGCCCCTCTTACGCACAACCCCTCGAATTCCATACTAATTTTTCTGGTTAGAACAAGAGCCGAAGATATAATATTATTTGGTACTTACCGTTGCCTTATTTCCTGAAAACTCTTGATGTATGAAGACGCCTCCCTCGTAGGCAATGAGCGGGGCCCTCCGCAACTTGGACGACATTCTTCGAGTTGCACGTTATCACCTCACAAGAGCGAAACCTCGAAATCGATTGATAAGCCGAAACTACTTTTCGATCGTGACCGCAGCACCAGGGTCAGACAATATACGAGTAGTATGGAATAAGCTGGAGGAAGCGTAGACCTTCGAAGAGACCGAATAACTGCGCTGCCGTGTGTCCTAAGACGTATTCGAGGTGGCACCTGCAGGTAGCGAGTCGGAATCTCCTTCTCTGCCGCGATAAAAGACAGTCGACGGGATTGTCGAACGATTTGGAAGGCGATGTAGACGAGCTGAATGAAGCGTTTCGTCACTTGTATTTTTTTTCCAGACTTGGGTCAGCAAGGTAGGATTTCAGAGGAAATCAACAATAAATGTATACAAGGTGTTGCAATATTCCGCTCACAAAATTCTACAGATGATTCCTTGCCCAAAAATTAGAGAAAAGTTCATATCAACGTACAGTCATAAAAATGTTATGTAAAATTATTTTGGCACTACAGTAGGTCTTAATTAAAACTCTAATAACATGATTTCAAATTTCGCTGTTAACTGCATTGGTAACAGTGGTGTAAAAACAGATGAGAATACAAAAATAATAAAACTATATCGTCCCTATTTCAAAAACAAAGTATTTGTGTATAATTATTCATATTTTATTTTATTTTTGGTCAGTATCTGTACGAAGAAGCCACTGAAGTTCTTCAGACCATTACTAGAATACAGGGCGTAATGTAACTCAAATGTCGACTATCCATTAAATTCCGGCTCTGATTCTATATTTAATCGACCCAGTTTTATTAGGGAAAATCAATAAATGGAAGAAATACACACAAGTGGATTGAAGGTCGGTTGTAGAATTAATTTTTAAATAAATTGTAGCCCATAATAGGCAACTATAAATTTCTAATAATCTCCATTATAAATTGAAATCCATTTTTCTTTAATACATTGTCCTGTAATAGAGCTGGAAGAAAATTTAGTTTATAATATAACAAGCTGTTCCGACCTTAGATGTACAGGCCATTAATAAGTAACAAACAAATTAAACTTTAGCTTACTACAGTGTTTGAAATTTATAAGTCGTTGGTTACCTTAACTATATACAGGGTGAACCAGCTTTTTCGTGACAAACTTTAAGGGTATGTTCTACGTCCAAAAATAACCGTAGTTTGCTATACAAACAATAGTCCAAAATTGCTTCGTTACGAAAATACAGGGTGTTGAAGTTTATTCTGAAAAATAGACAAATACATTTTTTTTAAACCGCTTAAGATAATTAAATGAAATTTGACAGGTGTCAATAGCAATGGAAGACTTAAATTTTGCAATGCAAAAGTTTCTTTTACTGTCACCAGTGGCGCGAGTAGCGGATCGTTAGTGACTATTTTCCAATAAAAAAATGGTACGTCCCTGGTTTTTCTAAAAATTAATGTTATTTTTGAATTCCTCGTTCAATTTGGTAGAAAAAAACTCTCTTGACTTTTTTTTGTACGATGCACCGTTTAATAAATAATAAATTACTTTAAAACTTTTCAAAGTGTTTTCCTTCAAATGGATTATTATTTGTTAGCTGCATACCAGATACACTTGCTGCAACCACCAGATAAACAAATTTACAACGACTAGTTGGCGTCGGTTTTCATGTCAACGTTTGACAAATCTTAAATAGTAGTAGTGCAGTAGTGTCAAAATGCCGTTTAGATTTTCAAACCAAGAAATAGCGGATATCCATTTTGTGTATGGATTTGCTAATGGAAACTCAAGGGCGGCTGCCAGAGAATACAGAAGGAGATATCCGCAGAGACCACATCCTAGTCGTAATGTGTTCACAAGAATTCACCAGCAATTAATGGAGAATGGTTTAGAAAATTTACATGGAGAGAGTTTTTTTCTACCACTTTTTAAATGATTTTCTTGAAAAAGAATAATTGTATGATCCACAAGAAGTTTTAATGTCATCTCCTTAGTTCTTTCTATGGGTGATTCTGAGAGATAAAGTAAATAAACAGCGATCCAATAATTTATATAGCCTAAGGGAGAAAACATTAATCGAAGTTGGTACTATCTGAAAGGTGGATAATAGGGCACTATAAAAAAAATTGATTGGAATATACGTCCTTTGTCTACAATATCGTAAAGGTATTGTAAAACAGTTTTTATGATGAGTTATTTTTTCTTAACGGAGAATTTAGAAATTAACAAGGAAAAACATACTCACGCACTGTCCATGACAATCTTGACATGTACGGGATCAGTAAATAAACCAGAATATTGTGCAAACTATCAGGAATTCATTGGCCAAATATACAGGGCGTTCTTTTAAATACAAAAGTTTGTTTTATGTCTCCGTAATGTAATATTTGTTTTTTAAAACTTTGGTTAGTACAATTTTTTCCTATATAGAAAGGCAAAAGAAATAACGGAAACTAAGCAAGCTTAGATTTGTAATTTTATATGAAGTTACAATTTATAAATAAGGGCGTTGTAAAGCGAGACACCTTGTGGATAATTTGTTGGAAATTAAGTAAAATGTAGCAGATATGTACCTACTTAATTACTGCTTAAAATTTAGCTTATAAAGGGTTCCTCAAAAGTAATATGTTGTAGTAAACACGTTGCGGTTACACAAAATAGAACGCTATACAAGTACGGAGAGTGTGTAGCTGAGACTGTTCGATGGAAGGAACGCCCCGAATGAAACAACTGTGAAATAATTCGATTGTAGACAATTAAGAAACAGGTCGGCATTGTATTGGCCGTTCAGCCGAAAATATTGCTATGGTAAGTGATAGTGTGCCGGAAATTTCCGTAACCTCAGTGCGTCATCAGTCACTGTAATTAAGCATTTCCAAAAGCACAATGTAGGGGATTTCGACAAAAGATCTGCATGTGCATCGATTCAAGATTCGGCTAACTGAGGATTTAATGCGCCGGACATTCGTTGATTGGATGTTGGAAAATCAACAACTGGATGGTGATTTTGCTAAGAAAATCATCTTTAGCGGCGAGGCCCATCTTACAATTGGTGGGAATGTGAATAAGCAAAACTGTCGAATTTGGGCGAGAAACAATCCCAGGGTCATTCAAGAACGACCACTGTATACCAAAAAATTGACAGTGTGGTGTGGCTTTCACGCATGGTGGTGTGATTGGTCCGTTTCGTTTCTTGTTTCTAGCAAAATATATTACGCCCTGTGCGTCAATAAATGTTTCACTGAGGATACCGAATCGGCATGTTAATGATCACCTAACTGCGATATAAAAACATCGGGGTACCTGCCAATTAGTACGTTCCCCTGATTACATAAATTGGGGAAAGTAATAAGGCACACTCAGTTGAGCAGCAACGGCAAATAACATGTTCACCGAGCGACGCATTCTCGCAGTTTTTCCAGTGGAACGACGGGGTTTCTATAGGTCACTAATTAGCTTATTAATGTCTGTAATAATAAGCGAACCGCCGGAGATATCTAAATCGAGCCGGTTTCTCATTAAAAAGAAAAATATATTTTAACAAAAATGTTGCACAATTATTTTCAGATGTCTTGTTTTATTAAATCGCATGAAAAACGTAAAAAACAAAAAAAAAACTTGTTTAGCAATAATGAAATAGTGTTTAAAAAGCATTGATTGCTCTGTCGCTCACTCACGTACTAATTTTTTTACATATCTCCATAAATAAAAGTGTACAAAATTGGAACAGTTGTAAAAAAATGTAAAAATTGAGAAAAACCCGAAATAAAAATATTTATTAAATAACAAAGGCACACAAAAAAAGTCCAAACTAAAGAGACCCATATACGGAATGACTTCGATGAGCTGAACACGATCCTGTAGTCAAAATTCATGACTTTCATGAGTTTTGAAGAAAAGTGACATTTTTGGGTGGTCAAAACTGATTATTTTCTAAATTTTGTCCAAATGTATCAATTTCGTAGTATTTTAAGGCGCTAAACACGATGCCATTTGTAAAATTTACCCCTGTCCTCGACATTTCTCAGAGAATCCACTGTTTGGGTGAAAACTGGCCCAAAAGCCCCTTTCAAAGTAATAACTAACACTAGAATAACACCCTATATTTCGCAAATGCAACGTTAATGAGAAAAACGTTACATGAACTATCCCCACCATTTCGCCATAACGAACTCACCTCCCAGTTTTTTTAAGTATGAACGGGACACGCCGTATAATAATATTTATCTTGGCAAACACAATGATGTTTATTATTAAAAAATAGTTTTTCTGCCATTTCTAGGAAACTTTTAAGATAATTTTTTTAGTTGTTGTCTTTTTTATCAAGAGCTATCTCTTATTAAAAATAAATCTCCAATTTCGCAAATACTGTGAATATTTGACAACAATCCCAAGATAATAGATAAGTATTTTTGTATTGGCACCTTATTTTTGCAGATAAATGAATACGGTTCAATCAGATCTAGAGTTTAAATGAAGAAAAGTATGAGAAACTACAGTATCTTATCTGCGTAATTAACAATTTGTTTTGAATGTCACCATTTGGGTTAATTGAAGTGTCTGACTTTTAGAAAGTTGAAAACAAGATTGCGTCGAGTATGATGGCCTCATCTTGGAGTGGCTTATTTGTGAGAAATTATTATAGTATTGTCACGTACATCATTCACACTGTCACCGGGATATTCGTCTGAACTGATATTAATAAAATTGGATTTTATAGTCTTTTACTGAGGAAAGTAATTGATTTATCATTGCTTTTACGTAAAAATAAATAAATGAAACGTCATGTAATCTGACAGTTTATCTGTCACGCGATTTGACAAGTAATATACATTTTAAAATAAAGCTAGTAAAAAATTTTAGTTAACACTTATTAAATCGATACAATCAGTCAATAATCGAGTTACTTATTTATTATTTATATTAATTTCAGATAACATCAGATCAATTTTTTGTTATATTAGTGCACGTTTTGTCTAAAATAATATTTTTAGATTACAAATTAGTGTAAATATTTATTATTTGAAAAAAAAAATATACAGGGTGTTCGAAAACAACATATAGATATTTTAAGATGCGGGTGCTAAGTTTTCGGCTTAGGCGTCTCAGTTTTTTTACAGGAAGATCAAAGTTGACTCTGATGGTTTTTCTTCAATATTTTCAAAACTTTTCAAGATACGTAAATGATTTTTTTCTTTGAACTAAACTTTTTGTGCTTAGAGTTA